AGGGGTGCTGTTTGTGGGGGGGGGGGAGATACATTAAAAAAATAAATATTTTTTTTTTTAAAGTATATGAAATCAGTATTCCCCCCCCCTTCTTCTTACTTTTGGTGAAGGGGGGGGGGGGAGGAACACAGCCATCCCTGGTGGTCCGGTGGTGGTCTAGGGGATGGGAAAGCATGTGTATGGCAGCTGTATGATTTCCAGCAATTACATGTGAGTTGATGTATGGAATCCATGGCTTATGAACTGCAAAATTTATTGTAAAGGATCCTGTTATCCCTGTAGGACCGATCCTTGCAGATTCTCCCGAAATCCCAACAGAATAATAGCGAAGTAGTGATTATAGCTCCCAATTCCCCAAACATGAGTCGAGACTTCATGAAGTGGTAAAACGATCTCATTTATTGATGGCCAAACTCAGCCTTTTATGATGGTCTCCCAGCAAGGAAACTTCCACAAGGGACCTTGTGGAAAACTGTGACACCAGATTCAGAACCAATCAGTTTACAGTACAATTATTAAACACACCCACGGTAACAGTACAACCCCTCCTCTCTATCCTGGAGATAATTAACTTAAGTGGTTGGAGAGAACCTAATTATCTCCAGGTAGAGAGAAACATGTATTTTTCACATTTTGACAAAACTGTATTAAAATCCATAACTTATATTTCACCGAACGTAGTCTCCAGGTTCCACATACCCCCAGATAGCTTGGATCTGAGCGCACAATATAGACGAATAACGCTCAGATCCTACGAACACAGTTCTCAATATCGTTGAGTAAAGTTTTTAGTTCACCGGTTGTTCGTGCAATTGAATCCGAAAAGAGTGCCATAACTGCAGCTACCTGGAGTCAGTCTAGCTCGAATGGTAGGAAAGTCCCGAATGGTAGGGTGTTCGTGAGTTATTAGACGAATGGACTGGAACTTGGTACCCTTCAGCGGTGTGCGGCTAAATAAGTGTCCAAAAACAGTTCCAGGGTGTCGACGACCATCTACCTCTGAGCGTTCGACGATTTTAAAATGGCGACAGCCACGTGTTCGGCAAATGAATGTGGACCACCAAGCCTTTCAACAATTACGTGCGGTTAACCGCAAGGTCTGGGTGGTGAGCTGCACACGACCCTGGTGGGGGGTCGGGTGGTTCGGGAGTTTGTTCAGCTCTTTTTGCAAACAACACGAAATAGCCAAACATATGAATATCAGACGAAATGCTGTTTCCCTGAGTTTGTCCAAACAGGGGTTTTGTTACATATATTATTTAAGTACTCTGATTTTTGTGTTCTGTGTGGTTATTTGAAAACCACTGCACTTCTACTCGCAGCATAACTGAGGGCAGTTGCGGAAATAATGTAGTGAGGGCCATGCTAAAAGAAATTTGTTTGGGCCAGATTTTAGCACAGGGGTAGACAAAAATGCCAGCTGATCTACTATTTGCCCATCCTTCAGGTTTTTATTTATCAGCAGTGTTTGTTGTATGGAGTATGTGTGCATGCATGTAGGGGTGTATTTATGTGTATTGTTGCCATTGGAATACAGTGGTGTACTTCTATGTAGTGTTTGCATTTGAATATAGGGATGTGTTTGTATGTAATATTAGCATTAAATGCAGGGGCACTTTCGTGTGTAGTGTTGGTGTTTAAATAAAGGGATGTTTGTATATAATTTTGGCATTTTAATATAGGTGTGTTTGATTGCTAGAATGTATACACATTTACACATGCACTGCCACATACATACACAGATACACACTCACACACATAACGACTTACACACTGGCACATACACATAATTCTTATATTTTTAGCCACCCTTCTGTTAACATACCTTCTATGTGCAGGAAGATGGCTTCCCTGGGGTCCTGCTGCTGGCTGAGTCCAGGAGTGTGGGTCTAGGACTCTCCTTGCTCCTCCACACTCCTGTGCTTGCTCTCCTTGCCATGTGGCTCTCCCAGCATCGATGATCTGACACGGGCCCAATTACACTGTTAAAGGGCCAATGCTCCCCTGTTCAGAACTAGCCTTTGAGTGGCCCTAAGTGCATGGACCACCAAATGGGCCCCCCCCAGTGCACTGGCAGTAGTTACGCCTCTTATTGGTGGACAGAGAAAAAAGACTCATCGCACCAGAACCACTTTAATAAGCTGTGGAGCTTATAATGTTTAGAACGCCAATTTATGGGTAACAATTAAATACAATAGAAGAAAAAACTAAGTAACAACAACAGAACACAGAACACTTTTTTATTATTTTTAATACACCTGACAAATATATTTCCACTTCTTAAATATATAATGTTTCAAGAAACATTGCCAGTTTTTACATTATTAATTTTAGGAAGACATAGGGTTAGATACTATTAAATTCTAATTGAAAATCGCTATTCAATATAAGAGATAAGCTAACCTCATCTAATAGAATTTAGTCAGTAGTGTTAACTTACTACTATATTAATTGTTAAAAATGTATAACAAAAACCCAAAAGAATTCATATTGAACAGGGAAACATTTTCTGGTTAATTTGCTAAAAAAAAAGTATCAGGAAAAAGAAATGTTAAATGAATCATATCAGCAATTGATTTTGTACTTATATGGATGGGAAATATTGTATAATTCATAAATAATTTTTCAACTACCTTGATTTATCCACTCAGTAAGGCGACTGGGTCATGTAATGCCATGGAAGGATTAGACCTCACATGGTACGTGCCAGCCTTGAACACAACACATCAAACACCGCAATATTACTCTCTCAGCTCTGCCAGCTCAGGGCAAGCACAATGCTTTTTTTCACCATAAATGGGTAGGCTTACATACAAAATCCTCAAATAACAACTGACAACGATGAAGAAAAGAAATACGTATTGTATCAATAATTTGAATTACAATTCAGGGAATGTTCCTGATCAAATCAGAGCTGCTTGTACATGTTGTTGATCACCGTGTTAATATCTTATTTGGGGTCACAGTATCACTTGACATTTTACAATATTATATAGAAAGTTCTGTCCCATTATGTGGCTTTCTCACTGTATTTTTCTTTTTCACTTCCTTCCCGGTTGACAGGAAAATGATCATATGAACACTGCACAGAGGAACTGTTAATAGGGAAGTTCATTTTAACAGATTGGTGTACATTAACTTTTTTATTTCCTTATGTGATTTCAATAAAGTACTTAAAGAGATACTATAAGGCACTATCCTGGCACTATAGTTCCCTCTGCCTCCCCCCTCCCTCACGACCCCCGGCCAGGTAAATAAAGGGTTAAAAACACTTTATTTACTTACCTTATCCCAGCGACGATGTTCTTACCTTATCCCAGCAACGATGTTCTTCAGCGCTGGGTCGAGGCTCTGCCACCTACGATGGCCTGTAACGGGTGGGTGCTAATGCACATGCTCGGCAAATGCTGCGTGCTCATTAGACCTCCCCATAGGAAAGCACTGAATCAATGCTTTCCTATTGGGAAAAATTTGACGCTGAATGTCCTCATACAGAGGGTGAGGATGTCCAGCGTCAGATTCCGAACCAAAGGTCTGCTTCGATCCAGGACTAGTGGCTGAAGTGGTCTAAGTGACTACAGTGTCCCTTTAACTGAATATAATGTATTGGGTCCAACAGTCCTTACGTCCTTCTGCCAGGCTTTTTTAAGAAGACATTTTTAAGAAGACACATAAGTAGTTAAGAGAAGGACTGAGACAGCCAACAGGTGGACTCTCGCCTTGTAGTTTTGACAACAAATGTTGGTTTCATCTACTTTTTTGCCTAAATTAAGTCTGCTACCTTTGTTAATATATTGAGCTTTTTTTTCACATTATCAGAAAAGTGACCTACAGAAATATTGGTGTGGGCTGTCTAACTCTGAAATGGAAAGACTTTACATGGGTGTGGGACAAAAAAAATTACTGTTATATTAAATTTTTGGTATTTATTCACAGGACGTGACGACATTTAACCCCTTAGTGACCAGACCGTTTTTCAATTTTCTTACCGTTAAAGACCAGGGCTCTTCTTGCATTTCTGCGGTGTTTGTGTTTAGCTGTAATTTTCCTCTTACTCATTTACTGTACCCATACATATTATATACCATTAAATGGTCTTTCTGAAGATACCATTATTTTCATCATATCATATAATTTACTATCAAAAAATATAAACAATGATAAAAAATG